TAAGAATATGGTCCTGGACTTCCTGAGTTGGAAGCCTAGCTCCATCTCTTCCTAAGTGTATGTCTTTGGGCAGGTTGCTTAGTTTGCTATGCTTCAGTTTCCTCATCTGTAAAGTGAGGATGACAGTAGCACATACTTCATAGGGTTGTTGAAGATAATAAATTAGTATGCGTATAAATGCCTGACATCAAGTGCTCTTGTAGTGTTTGGCTCTAATAATTATTATGTAGAGTATGGACATGCACAGACACACTTTTGTTCCACGTACATAGACATACTCCACATGTAGATAAGAATGTATGTATAACTTAACGTCCCTTGTACTCAGAAATACATACCTTTGCCCACACCTGCACCCAGTCCACACCCACAGACTCCGTACGAAAGACGGCAGTGCCTCGGCCTGCATTGGAGGTGAGCTTGGGGACCCTATGGGGCTCTTGGGCTGATGTCAGCCTTCTCTGCCAGCTGGACCACCCCCAGGGATGCACACTCGGTTTGCTTCTCTCTCCAGCAGCAGTGATTTTGGTCAGGAGCTGCAATTGACATCTGAGCTGCTGGCGTGTGAGAGAGACTTGTCAGTAGCCGTGGGTGGGAGCAGGTCCAGGGTGCCTCCCGGAGAGTCCCGACTGTGTGATGTGTGCTAGTGCTCCCGGGAGGTCTGCATGAGCTGGTGCAGGCAGCCAACCCACCTCTGCCCACGTTCACCTGGGCCCACCTGGGTGGTGTGTGAGCCTTCCATCTTTGCTTGCTGGAGATGCCCTACAGCCAAGCCAGCATGCCCTTCTCTGCAGCCCCCATCGCCTCTGGTGCCAACAGGGCTTGATGCAGGGGCCTGAGATTTGAAGCCACACAGTCCCAATCCTGTACATGTAGGAGGCTGGAGTGGAAGCCCTGTCTGCCAAGGTACGAGGACCACAGAGAGGTCTCAGACCCAAGTCTTGGTTGGTGGATGTTACAGGAGAATAAGACCCTAAGTAGCTGTACTGGGGTAAGGAGATGCTTATCGTAGCCAGTAATATGGCCAAGGCTCCCCTGAAACTTCTGGTACTATGGAGATTTTGAGGCCAGAAGGACTCAGTCAGCCCCAAGCACATTTGGGGATACCTAAATGGGGTGAGATGCAGAGCCTCATGCCTCCCTGAACCTGTGCGTATACCTCCATCTTGATGCCCGGGATGAGCACCTCTGCCATCCCATCAGCCCTTTAACCAGCACCTGCCCAGCCCTCTCCCCTGTGTGCCAAGCAGGCTGAGGTCGAAGAAGAAGAGATCAGGCCTGCCCTGCCCTTTGAAACTTTCCTTCTACTGATAAGTCCAGATGCATCCCTCCTTCCCAGCGCCTTCCCTCCAAAGGGAAGGGAGGGAACACCATATTCTTGGAAGAATTCCCAAACCCCTGTGTGTGAAGTAGAGGGGAAGGGAGACAATGCCGTCAGTGGAGAAGGGACAAGAATCCTGGGATTACATAGCCTTTGGAGCCTTGGAGAAAGATCCATGCAAGGGGCTAGTCTCCTAGGTGGCCAAGAGGGTGGAAAGATTAGAGCAGACGTCAGCAGACTTGCTCAGTCGGAGATCAGGATACAGGCAAGTATGGGTGGGACTAAGGAGACATTCCCCTGGGAAAGCTTCCCACAGAGGGAGGTCTTCCGGGCTTCCCACGGCTCGTCTAGTGCCCATGGAAGGGGCTTGGCTGCTTCACCTCTGCTGAGGGTGACTTTGCAGCTCACATTCCAGAGATGGACAGAAGGTTAGAAGATGGTCTCGGTTCTGGGAGACTACAGTGGTACCTGCTTTCCTGGGAAGCCATGGACTCACACAAGGAAAGGGAGGATGATGTTGTCTCCTGTTGGAGACAAATGGGGAGGAAACAGGTTGTTCTAGAGAGTGAGGTTGGCAATGAGCATATCTTGGTGGAGCAAAAGAGACTGGGAGGGGCTGGTCTTGGAGAGATCTTGTCAAATTCTCAACAAGACACATCTCCAGGCTGGTCTGTTCCTGGAGGCATGTCCCAAGGACACGCTCCAATGACAATAAAATCTCTGGCTCCAGCTCAGGCCCTTCCTGGGGAAACCCTCTCCCGGGTAAAAGGGCTACCATCCAAGACAGGCCTTCAGGCATTTGGCCCGCTGGGTCTTGGCTTGAGCTTGGGTGGTGAACCTGGGATGATCAGATTGGGGAGGGCCTGCATGAGATGTGGGAACCAAAATGTTCTGCCTCTGGCATTGGAACCTGCACCTGGGAAGTCATGTAAGAACCTCAGCTTATAAGAGTCTCAGCCTTCGAGACCCTCCAAAAAGTGACTCCAAGTTGGTGCTGTTCTTTGAGACTCTTGAAAGGTAGCCCAGTGAGCAGGAATTTGAGGAGTGACTGCATACCCAGAATAGTTCAGAGGGATCAGGCCTCACCTACTGAGGTCTGTGATAGCAGTTGCCCAGTTGACTTGACTTTTGATCTCCAGTCTTGGATCTTGATGGGGAAACCTTCAGGCATGATCTTTGGTGATTGCTGGTTGAGGATAGCATTAGTGAGGACTCTCTGAGTTCAAGTGATTAAAACCCAGCACCAGCTAAATTGAACAGAACAGGAAGATCATTGGCTCATGTAATTTGAAAGTCCAAGGAAGTAGTCTAGCTTCAGAGGCACCTGAAACCAGGGGCTCAAATGATGCCAATCAGCACTGATTCTTCTCATCTCATGGCTTTTCTGTTTCTTTATTGGTTTAATTCTCAAGCAGGCTTTTCCTAGTACCCTACACTTCTTGGTATATGTGGGACTTAGGGCTCAGATCAAAGCATCCATGTCAATTACTGCCTTATATGAGTTACAGACCTACTCCTGAATCATGGCATTGATTGGCCCAATGTACCTGCATCTGTGGTCAAGGAGACAGAGTTGTGGGACAGAAAAGCCCTAGGAATAGGGCAGCCCTGTTCCATGACCTCCAGCCAAGATCTGTGGAAGAAGACCCGGAGCTGGTGCTTGGTAGCAGAAGCTACTGGGGTTTCTGAGAGTACTCCCCAATGGGCTGGAAGAAGGGGAAAAGACATCTCAGGCAGTGACCCCTGCAAAGACCCTCTGCCTGCTTTGGGGGACTTCATCAGCCACAGCATCCTCAGTAGCTCCATGCATGGCAGGTTCAGAATATGCAGGTGACTATGGGTAGGATGAAGGTGGCCCATACCCATCCACCCAGAGAAAAGACAAGAGAATGATACAGAAGACTGTGTAGTATTTGATCAACCTGAATCTGGCAGAGGGACAGAAGAAAGGCATCCACCCCAGGCCTGGGGCCTCAGAGCAGCTGAAATGCTCCCTGCTCCCACTGGCCACCTCTTTCCTCCCACTGAGTGGGCAGGCCTTAGCCCCCTGGCTTCTGTTGGCCATCTCTGCAAAGGGTAGACAGAAACCTTCTTGGGCATTATCATAGAGACTGAGCCCTGGGACTCTGACTAGCTTTTTTCTTAGGGTCTTCCTACGTTGAGGGAGGTAGACATTACAGCCCCTTCTACTGTGTAAATGAATGATGCTCATACTAGCCTTCCTCTCAATGACCAAGAGCATAAGGAACAGCTCTTGTATATTCACATCTCCACAGTTTTTCCTTACTGTGATGGTGACCCTCTCTGGCCCTAGCTGCATTTTTCAGGTTCATATGAGCTATGTATTAGGAAGAAAAGCCTGACCCTGAGTCCTTGGCCACTGAGGCTGGTGGGCCTTGTAGGATGGAGATGAACAGAGGGCCAGGCCTGAGGTTGGAGGTAAAGAGTTATGTCACGAGCAGAAAAGAATCAGAATGGGATGAGAGGAGAAGACAGATCCCATGCATGATACCTTCCAAGAAGGAACTGAAGGTAGTTAGTGGAGTCCCTAGACCTGTGTGCTTGTCACCTGGGTGTGCCTCTGCCCTGGGACTGTCACTACTATCCACCAGAGCATCCACCCGTATCCCTTCCCCCATTCCAGAGCCATCTGTCAAATAGCAAAGCCTACCTCTGCTCTGACGTTCTCCCAGAGTGCCCCTGAGGTCCCTAGAGCACTAATAGTCTATGTATTCGATGGACCAAGGGCAGAAACTATCTGATGGTGCTTTCAAGAGCTATGTGGGAAAGTCTTCCAGTTGGACCCACAGCTTCCTTGGGAGCAAGAACTGTAACCACAGCCATCCTTGATTGCATAGAAAGACCTAGACCTCTCCCTTCCCATACTTGGCCCTTCCCCATCCTTCCAACTCAAGGCCCTCTCTCAATTTTCTTATCCATGAAATGAGAAAAATGATGGCTTCATGTACTTACCTCACAGGGTGGTTGTAATTTGAACAAAACAGGTTTCTTACTCTCAGACCAGCCTTGTTTCAATTACTCTACCCTGCCCTAGAGGCCATCTTTTCCTCATTTTTGTATTTCATAGAATGATTTGCTCAGCCAGTGTTTGTTTGAGTGAGGAATGAATGAAAGAATGAATGAGCCTTTCTCTTTTGGCCATGACTGTCAAGGGTCATACAAAGATGCAGTGCTCACTTGTGGTTGAAATGTCAGCCCCTTAAAAGGCAGCTGCAAGGAGCACTGACCCACTAGAAAGGATCTGTGAGACACTGAGGCCTGGATGCCTTTGAAAGCAGAGAAGCAGCCAAACGCCAGGCCAAACCAATGGTCCTAATGGGTTTGAAAGACTCTCAGTGGTCTCTGTTTGTCCAGGTTTTCCTTGGATTTTCTTGCAAGGTAGAATTCCACACACAATGCTATCATTGTTTCTATTTCATTTTTTAGTTTTTTTTTTTTTTTTATCAGACATTTGCAGTTTTTCAGGCCCTTCTCCAGGGAGCATGTTGGTCTCCTCTTCCTTACGAAAATGTGAGTTTCTGGAGCTAGGCCTGCACCAAGCTGTCTGCTCTATGCTTTGCTCTCCACTGCTCCTTCCCTCCTGGGTCCCAGCTCCGACCCTGCCTCCGCCCTCCCAGCTACGTCCTCATGGCTATGTTCTCTCTTGTCCCATCTGCAGGTTGGTGGTTCGTGAGCACCTCTGAGGAGCAGGGCTGGGTCCCTGCCACCTACCTAGAGGCACAGAATGGCACTCGGGATGACTCAGACATCAACACTTCCAAGACTGGAGAAGGTAAGGGCCTGTAGGTTGGGGGGGATGAGGAGGCAGGAGTAGAGGGTTGGCTGTCCTGAGGGTTCCTGGGATTGGTGCCAGACCCATCCCTGGCCTCAGGAGTGACACCATCTTCTCCTGAAGGCAGCTCTTCCACTCTTCTCCCTACAACCACCTGTCAATCTGAATCCCCTAGCCCCTTCCCTCAGGTCCCATCTCACTGAGGAGACCAACATGCTTATCTCCAAGCCCAGGCCTGTCCCTGAGGCCCTGCTAAAAATCTGGGGAGGCTGGGGGTCCCTTGGGGGTGTGGCTCTCAGGTGTTTGCAACTTTGGGTAGAGGCTGGGGAGAACAATCCTTGAACTTGGTTCCCCAAAGCTCTCTCCTCCCAGAAACCCTGGGGACGCCATAGAGACCTGCTTTTGCCTTCCTTCCTTCCTTCAGCTGTGTTCCCTACAGCCAGGACGGTCCTAAGAGGCTGAGAATACACCCCTTTTGCTGTGCATTTGGGGTTGGTTATTAGCTCGGCCAGGGTACAGACACAGAAAGCAGGTCTGTTGGTCCTTTCTTGGGATCTCAGGAACTGGGAAGAAGGTCTGGCTCAGCTTTGTCTGGGTTTGTCTGGTTGCATTTCAAAGAGCCTGCCCCATGCCCCAGGGTCCCCCTCTCCCAGGCCAGCACTGCCTGGCAGCCGTCTGTGGACTCGGGCATTCCCCAGGGTAGGCTGCCTGAGCCAGCGAGCTTGAGCCACCCCATGTCCTGTGTCCTGGCAGCAGGAGCACTTTCCTAACGGTCAGCAGGGATGGGGATGGAGGACTGCCACTGGGCTCAGGCCACCTCCAGCATGCTTCTCCTCCCTTACCACCTCCTGCTGCCAGGCCCAAACCAGTAGCCTGCCAGCTCCTTATTCATCCTTCCCCTAAATATCAATTACTTGGCAGGCGGTTGGGCTCCACCCTCGCTGCCGCTTCATTTCAGCTTCTTGTCCAGAGCTGTGGCCCCTGCGATGGCCTTCCACCTTGTGACAGGTTTCCAGAGGCTAGGCTGATGGGGACATGCCAGCCCCTGCAGGCTGGGCTGCTCGGTCCTTCCTGGATGCTCCCTGAGCACTGGGGCTGAACCCACTCCCTACCTGATCCTTGTCCATAGACACTGCAGCCCCTGCCCTGAGTCTGGTCGAGCTTGTTTCCTTTCCCCAGACTTTGCTGGTGGCCCTGTGGCGTGCAGCCTCAGGACTGGCCTTCTTCCTGGGGTGGGTGGGGGGCCTGCACTGGGACCAGCAGACCAGACGATGGTCATCCGTGTTGGTGCACCCAAGGGTAGATGTCCCTCCATCTAATAGGTTTCCCCAGCTCCAGACCCTGTCCCTTCTGTCCGACCTTTGCACCCTTCGTTGGCGGGCAACTTTTACATACCTGTGCCTCTGTTTTCACATCTGTGAAATGGGGGTAGTACCAACCACAAGGGACTTTTTTGAGGCTTAAGTGAGATGATACCTGGGGATCATTTAAACCAGATCTGGCACACATGGGTTCTTGTCAGGGTGGCCCTTTGTGCTTCAGCTGAGAGAAAACGGAAAACTGCCTTCCCCACCCTCACCCCCACCCAGGAGGCCAGTGTCAGGACCTCTTCTCAATCGGGCCCTTCACAGGACCTGGCTTATATTCTGCTGGTTATGTTCCTTTCAACCCCTTGTCTTTCTAGCCAGGGCAGGTGGGTACCCCATATGACAGATAAAGAAGCAGAGGCTCAGAGAGCGCCACCCCAGAGGACACAGGGAGCTGGCAGTGGGCCTGGATTGCACCCATTCCTCCTACTCTTTTATCCTGGCTTCTGTTTATAAGAAGCAGGTCAAACAGGCCACTCACCTCTTTCCAGAAAAGCAGATACTTTTCGGAAGGCCTCAGTGGGGTTTGGCTGGGTGTGTCTGAAGAGTTGTCCTGTGACTCTAGCTGGTGGCCTCCTTCCCCAGGACCCGTGTTGTTGGCCCCTTTCTGCTTCACTGTCAGGAAGTGGGATCCAGCTGATGCCCAGGAGCCTGGCCTGGTGTCTGTTCTACCAGGGAGTCCCGTGGGAAGGCAGGAGCTGGGGGCCTGAGTGGGAGATGCCCAGGGGCTTGGAGCCGGGCTGCCGAAGCCTGTGGGCCAGTGCAGGATGTGCCCTACACACATCTGAATGAAAATCTCTACAGATGTTTTCAGAAGGGCATCAGCCACAGAGTCTGTGTGTGTATTTCATTCAGCAAACATGTCTTGGAGCCCAGGCACTGGGCTCGGCCTTGGGGATGCAGAGCTGAAAGGCAAAGTCTTTGCCCTCCTCAGACTTACCCAGGGAGGTGACCAAGAAAGCAGAGTCATAAACAAGACCCAGAGTGGAAAGAGCTAAAAGCACCAGACGGCTGGGACCCCCAGTCTCTCTTAGGCTTGGTTACCCTTCTACCTGGAGCCTGGCCTGTGGTGCAGATTCTCAAGGAATACTTGCCAAGTGAGTAGCTGCAAAACCAGGTGCTGGGAACCCAAAGTTTTCAGAGAGTCAGAGCTGTCCAGCGTGGGAGGGACACAGTAATGTCCCCATCCCTGGGGGCTTCCTGGCACTGGACTGGAGCAAGAGGCCCTTTTCCTGTCTGAGGTTCTGGGATCCTGAGTTCTTTAGCCCCATTCCAGGCTCAGGCATAAGCCCCTGAAAGCCAGTGGGTTTGCAGGCCTGGGAGTGTGGCCCATCCCTCCCTCCATCCCTTCCTTCCACCCCCACCCCCACCCCATCTCATCTCATCTTCATCTCCATTCTCTCCGCCGGTTCCTGTCGGTCGCATGCTCCACTGCCATCTCCCACATCAGTGTCCAAGAGACGCAAGGCCCATCTGCGGCGCCTGGATCGCCGGTGGACCCTGGGCGGGATGGTCAACAGGCAGCACAGCCGAGGTGACCACGGGGAGCGGCTTCTCCTAACCCCGCAGCTAGCCTCTCTCTCACTTACACCTCTGTCCCCTCTGGGCTCTAGTGTCCTCTACCGGTCGCTGCCTCACCCAGATTCGTGGGCACACTGTCCTCTTTTCTGCTGCATCTGGGAGGGGCAGGAGGGCTGCTTAGGAATCAGGGTGGCACTGGGGATGCATCTGGCTTCTAGCAACTTCCTGGGGGCAGGGGGCATAGGAAGTGGTCATGGGGTCCCTGATGCAGGGACAAGGGGCCCAAGGAGGAGGGGAGGGATGAAGGAGCAGCTGGGCTCTAGGAAAGGCCACATTGTCCTACAAGCTGCAGATGGAGGGCAGCCAGGGTCAGCCGGCACCAGGGTGCAGCCCAGCCCAGCTCTGATGTGCCAAGCCAGCCAGGAGCCTCTGGCGCCTCCCAGCACTAGATGTTGCCGAGTTGAGGACACAGCAGGAACAGACCAAATGTAAAGCAAAGGTCAGCTCAAGCTAGGGGGGCTGGGACAGGGCTAGGATGCAGCCCTGAGCCTTGGTGGCGAAGGAGAGTAGGGAGCAGGCCCAGAAAACCACAGCAAGACAGCTGTGCCTTCCCCTGCCCCCTCAAGCATCTGCTCCAAACACCACCCCACACTGAGCCCCCAGGCACAGCTCTGTGTTCACCACAACGTGGCCACAACCTCAGGAATGTCACATGTCTAGATGGCAAAGTGTGACCACCATGCACAGCCCTCACCGCCATAGGTGGGACTGCAGTACCACGTTACATCCAGCCCCACACACCACCACATGTCCACTGCCCCGTGTACCCACACAGAGTACACATGCATCATTCCAGTTATGCAGCCATGCATGCTGCTGTGTGTATATGTTATTTACAGTCATAAATACACTATACACAGAACTCACTGCTCATGGTAACATCATATACACAGCTTTTGGATCAGCACCTACAAGTGCATAGAACCCTTTACACACAGTCTCATAGCAACTCTACGACAGGGTACAACTGCCCCATGGCCTTTCCAAGGCTATAATCTGTACAGAAACAGACTGCCACATCTTTCTTCTGTGGAGCTTGTAGGTTCGAACCACCAACCTTTTGATTAGCAGATCAGTATTTAGCCACTGTGCCGCCAGGGCTTCTAATGTCTTGTATACACAACCCCGTGTACTAACTGCATATACACAGGCAATCACAGTGACAAATACACACTGATGTATGTAGATACTGGTGCCCAACCAAATGTGTAATTCTAGAACCATACATACATATGTAACTATAAAAAAAAGCAAGTACTAGCCTACAACTGCATGCCTGCTCACCTTCTCTCTCTCTCTCTCTCTGAGTAAAATAAGAGACCTAAACATAATTTCTCAGCCAAGAAAAACTTGAAGGAAGCTGGCTGGGAGAAACTTTGCTGCAAGCAGCAGTGCTAATGGGGGAGGCAGGCAGGGGGTCACCCACTAAGTGGACAAGAGAAATCAGGGCTTCCTGGGGCCTCCACTCCCAGTTCCCTCTGCCGGCCAGGCCTCTGGAATCGCAAGGTCTCTGCTGTGGGGTTGGGTAAGTTGGGGGCCGGGAGGGGAGCAGGGAGACTGCTGACAGAGGGGAAAGTGTTTGAAAAGAGGAGGCTTCTGTGGTTTGAAAACTGCAGGGCTCTGCAGCCCCTGCCTCCCAAAACAAAACAGCCTTGTCCACCTCCCCTGTAGCGTGCCCACCCAGCAACTGGCCAGTGGCCTGGTGAGCCATCCCTAGGGTGCGGTTGCCACCATCACTTGATGGCACATCAAAGTGACCATGGTCTCCAGGCTTCCCAGAAGCCTGAGAGTTCTCCAACCCTTCCTGGGCTCACAGCCCCCTCTCCCCTCAACTCTGTTTCCCAAGGGGCATCTCTTCCAGAGACCCCAACCAACCTGAGTGGCTGAGCCCCCAGTGAGGTCCTGTCTCTCCGTCTGGGCATTTTCCTGTCTGGCTCTGCCATGCAGGCTTTGTGGGCCAGTGAACCAGTAGAGGAGCTGGCTCTCCTTCCCACTAGGGGAGGCCTGGGAGTTTGGAGGTCTGGGTCCACGTGGCCCATGTCCACACGAAGGTAATGCTCACCTCTGCTGCCCAAGCTAAACTCTGGCAGAAAGCCCAGGCCACTTGGTACCAGGGCTTTGAATTCTCATCACCCAGAACCTACACAGTGACAGGTAAGAAGAGCTTCCAAGTAAGCCCAGAGTACTCACTGGGAACACATGAACTTGAGGTGTCTGTGCTCACAGTAACCCCAGGGCCCCCCAGAACAGGGCATTTGGTAGGGAGCAGCCTGGGTTCTGTCTCCTCCAGGGTGGTCAGGGTAAAGAAGGCCCTGGCACTGCCCGTGGGACTGTCCTTAACAAGCACATGGGAGATGCTGCTCAAGCCTGGCATCGCCAGGAGGCTGAGCCCCAGGAGACGGCTGTGGGCCCTGTTCTCTGCCCCGAGGAGGCAACAGGGCTCCTCTGGTCTCCCCACGACTCATTTTTCTCAACATCCTTGCCTAGGAAAACTTTAATGATGGCTTCCTGCTGGAACCACAGGCTTTTAAAAATAGCCCAGTTGAACAAAGGCAAAATGTGGACCCCAGGCCTTGCCTCGCCCTAACCTCAGAACCCTGGATATCTAGGGCCTGGCGCTGCCCCTCTGGCCACTGCCCAGGCAAGGGTTTACCGTGCCTTATTGGAAAATGGAGCAGGGCCAGGAGCGAGGCAGGAGAGCAGAGTTGGCCTTCACTGCACTTCTCAAAGGCCCCAAGTCAGAATCTGGCAGCGTGGGCTTCTCTGGCCTCCTTAGCAGCTTTCCTCAGCATGGCTGGAGTCAAACCTGAAACCTTCCAGGAGCAACTGCTGAACAGTCTTGGAGGCTGCAGTGGGGCATCACCCACCTTTTGCTTTTTTGGCAGCCTTTGCGACTTGGCCATCACTTCTGTCCTTGCAGCCCGGTGGGTGGCTGTTCCCACCCCAGAGAGAGCTGCTAACAGCCCAGCACAGGCTGCAGACAGAGTCCTGATAACCCAAGAAGGATGAGCAGATGGCCCTCCCGTCAGAGTCCAGTGAGGAGTCCAGGGGGAGGCTGCCACAGCTGGAGCTGGGCGGGGCAGGCATCTGAGCCAACATCCGGCTATTTTTGAGCTCACAGAAAGCCTCCCCTGCTCGGCCCTGCTTCTCTCTGCACTCATGTAGTGGATCATCGCTTTGGAGCCTCTACTGTGTGTCGGGCAACAACAACTGTGTGTCGGGCCCTATCTCAGTCCCAGGGGAGTACCTGGGCTGGGAGGACCACATAGGATCAGGGCGACTCACCCAAAGGGCAGGGCTTCAGTCCAGGCCTGTCTGTGACAGCTCTGTTCTTCCAGAGGGAGAGGGTAGGCAACTGAGTTCCTTCCTGAGCTGTCTTCCAAAGACAGCCCCCACCAGGAGGTGGGAGGTCTTCAGCTGATTAGCTGTGGGCAGGGCTAGGGAGCAGCCAGATCCAGGTATTCCTGTCGGGCTTGTTGAGGATGGGCCTAGCTGGACCCCAACAGCTAGAGAGGAAGCACCTCTTTGGAGTGGAAATAAGGACCCATGTGGGAGGCCCCAGAGCCCCCTGCCAGGAGGGAGGTTGAATGGTACCACACTGTCCCAATCCCCAGCTGTCCTTCCAAGCTTTTCTTGAGATTCCACAGTGCTTCAGAAATGCCTTGGTCGACTCAAGACTTGCACACACATGCGAGAATAGAACAGGCAGTGAGATGGAATCTGGGCATTTGCCCCCAGCAGACACAATGCACGTCAGCCCACACTGGGCAGTGAGGGGCTTGGTTTTGTTGCACGTCCTGTTTGTCTCCACTGCTTATTTGTCCACAGAGTCTTTTTCTAACCAAGCACGTGTAGTCATCCTCTTAGAACGTGTGTCCCCTAGAGTCCTCAGGTGTTAATGAGTAGGCAGGGGTGGTCATGCAAGGCTTCAGCAAGGCATTGCCCTCAGAGCCATCTGTAGGTCAGATGGAGGAAGCATTGAGGAGCCTGGGACACAGAAGGAATCATAACACATTCAGGGAACAAGGATGTGCCGGGGACATGAGGTATTTAGGAGACACAAGGGCTGGTCTCAGACTTTATGACTTGGGACCCACGAAGAATGGGCTTCCCCTCACCTCCCTCAGCCCAGCGAGCTTCTGGGGCCTTGTGGCTGCCAGGCCCCAGCAGTTACCAGACTGGGAAGGCCAATTCTATGCAGCCAGGGTCCTGCCTGGCAATCTGGGATCCTGGCTGGCTTTGGCATGTGTTGGACACAGCGAGGGCCCTGATCCCATGACCTCCCTGCCTCTTACCCCCTAAGGCTGTATCCCTTGCCTTTCCATCAAAAAGCCAGAGGCTGACTCAGTCCACCTTGGCAAGCAGCTAAGCCAGGCCAGGGGAGACAGGGACAGGGTGAAGGACTTACACCCCAACCTCAAATAATGAGGCCTTCTTGCTTTCCCACTGCCTGCAGAGGAAAAGTACGTCACCGTGCAGCCTTACACCAGCCAGAGCAAGGATGAGATTGGCTTTGAGAAGGGCGTCACTGTGGAGGTGATCCGGAAGAATTTGGAGGGCTGGTGGTATATCAGGTAGGAGCCCTGGCAGAGGAGCAAGATGCCTTTTCTCATCCCTGTCCTCCAGGGTATCCTGGGCAACGGAGCCCAGTGCAAAGTCACCAGCCACTAGATGGCCATTAGTTACTGACAGCAGCTTTGCGCCAACCCCAGGGGCTTGTGCTGCAACTCTGCCCGGCTGAAAACCTCAACCCAACAGTGCTTAGTTTGCAGATCATCCCTCTGGAGCAGAGGCCGAGCCACAGCCAGCAGGGCCCAGGGGCCCAGACTCAGCTCACAGGCTGTGGTGCAGTCCCTTCCCACGCATCTGCCAGAAGGGCCCCGCACATCTGAATCTGGTTTTCTGTGTCCGGCCTGGGTTGCCTGGTGAGCTGTACAGCGAGGGCTGCCTGGAGCGCTGGCGCCCGTGGGCCTTGCTGGGGTCCCAGCAGGCAGCTTCTGCTGCTCACAGCCCAGCATTCAGTCCCAGCTAAGGGCTTCTGGCTTCAGAGTCCTCAGCGGATGTGGGCGGGTCTTGGGTCCTCTGCAGGGCTGGCTCACTTAGTGCAAGAGCTGGGGCACAGTGAGGCCTGAACCCAGACCTGGTTCAGGTCATCAGAGACCTCTTTCTCCTCCTGTCCTCTCCCTCTCCCAGGACCAGCTCACACTTCCCAGCTGAGAAGCCCATTTGAGGGTGTGGGCAGGGGAGTCAGGAGGTTCTCCCACCCTCCTAGAAGCAAAATGAACCCTGTGGACTTCACTTACCCTTGTCTACCTGGTCCTTCCTTTCTTATCCTCTCTGCCCTGGCTCCCAAGGCCAGCCAGCTGCCCCCTGGTGGACTTGTTGTCAGGAAGGCTTTTGGTTCCTTTGGAATTGGCTTTGCTGTGATGACTGCCTGGCTTCTCTCTCTTGTGCCTGGAACTCAGCTGACAGACAGTCCATACCTGGGTTTTGAGGGTCACCTTCCAGCCCACTCTCCTTGTGAGGAGAATGCATATTCTGAGGGGCCTCCCGTGGCGGGCACAGGATTGTTCTGTGGTCCCCTTGGACTGAGGTAATAGCAGCATTCCTGAGACAGTTGGTAAGAACATAGCAGACCATGATGGTGCTAAAGATTAGTCTTTTCTGACAGACAGGAAGGTCACCAGCCACATAGGGATTAAACCTCAGTATGACCTTGTATGACAGAGGACAGCCTTTGTCTCCCTGCCCTTTCTGTCCTGTTAGGTATTGGGTAGAGGGGGCTGTGTGCCTGGACATGTGTTGCCCATAGTCACTGCCCCTAGACCCTCATGTTCTCTAAGCAAAGGGAATTAGGGCCAAACCCAAAATCCAACAACCATGGGTCTGAAGTGGAAAGGCCAGCAAATGTTCTGATAGACTGATGGCCTGTTTCTCTTGCTTAATAGTTATCTACAAAGCTGCTTTTTTTTTTTTTTTTTTTTAATGTTTTAAAATGACCAACAAAGTTACCCTGAGCTGCTGCTGCTTGTCAGCCCCTATCCCCTGTCCCCATAGCCTAGTCCTTTAGCCAGTAGGACCTTGAACTGAGAAAGTCCTGCTGAAAAAGTTCCACCTTAAGAAGGCTGCCAGACACCCCCTTAAATATGCCATTTCCCAACATTCCAGGCTCTATGTTGATCCTCATTTCCTGTCTTTCTCCCCTCCCCCTCTTCCCCTCCCTCTCTCTCTCTCTCTCTCTCTCTCACTCACTCACACTCCTCTCTCCATCCCTCCTTTTCCAGTTTGCTTCCCTCTGGAGTCATTCCATGTTCCAGAGCTGGAAAGCAGATGTGAGCAGAGTTTGGCCCCAGACACACACAGCCACTTCTGATTCCCTGCATTTCTCAGCCTGGAATCTAATTTTATCCATGTAATGCTGAAGAAACACAAAGGAGTTTGAAGTGGGAATGTTCAGGGCCGTGAGCAGGCCTGGCCGTCAACCCCATGAGAGCCCTGTCCCCATATCGCTATGATGTTCACATAGAAAAACATATGCAAGGGCCAGCAGGTCCATCTTTATCTTTACTCCAAGATGCAAGAGCCCTGGGCTTAACCAGATGCTGCCAACGGCCAGCAGAGTGACCCTCTGTTACTTGCTTTACTTTTCTGAGCCTTGGTTGACTCGTCTGTAAGGTTAGGAACTTTTACTAGTTGGTTGCATCCACCCCTGAAATTCTATGCTTCTGTCTATACCTATTATTACCTTGGGAAGCTGGGCCAACCCCCAACTTCCATTTACTTGTCCACTGATGCCTGTCTTCCAAACCCCAAACACAAGGATAGACAGGCCAGCTTGGGACAGCCTGCCTGCACGTTCCTGTGACATGAACATAAGAAGCCACCTCCTACCAGAACTTTCCAGCAAAGCTCATACACACTGGTAGCAACTTCACCTTTCACGTCCCTTGCCTCCCACCTTATGAGCACCCAAGATCAAGGTCAGGCGGGGGTGGGAAGTGTCAACACATCTGGCTTGGAGGAGTCATGAGCCATTTCAGAGAACCAGATGTATCCCAGGGAGCAGACAGGGACATTGAAAACCAGACTTAGGGGCACTGGCCAGTAACTGCTGGACCAGGAAGTAAGTTCCCAGTAGGTTTGGATAGAAGCACAGCACCATGGGGAAAAAGGGAAGAGCTTGTTTGAAGAAGTCATTGAATCATCTAATTTAACTCAGCCCTGTCATTTGCTTTTTGCCTTTGTTTATGGACTTTTGGTTTTGTTTTGCCATGCATACCGAAGGTTTTAATTTTCTCTAGTCATGTGTGTTGGTCCTTTTGCATTGATGCTTTTAGAGTCCTTTTTAAAAAGACTTATTTTTCCCTCAAGATTACATAAATATTCACAATTGTCATTTTTATTTTGCTATGTGGCTGGGATCACGTTTACTTGTTTTTCCTAACCGGACACTTACGTTGTAGCCAAATCACCTACTCAGTAATCTGCCCTTCCCCCACTATTTGAAATGTTATGCTTTAGGTCTGTTTGAGGACTTATTTTGTGTCCTTGGTATGTCCGTCTACCCTTGCAGTAGTACCAGTATTCACCCCACTCAGTCACGCTTTTATGTAGACATCTCCTTAGTCGGCCTCGATGTGTTTATCCTTCTGGATAAACTTAAGCAGCTACTCTATGCTTGCATTTTTCAGAAGAGAACAAACTGAGCTCCAGAATAGTGACTTGTCCAAGGTACCATAAACTAGAACTCAGATTTCCTGACTCACCTTTAGCACTTCTTTGCATCTCTGATAATGCTTTTTCTTTCCTCCAGAGCATTAACTCTAGAGGAACACTACATCCACACCTTCTCATTTCTTATCTCTAGAATTACTCTCAACTGATTGTGAGGTAGGCAAGCCACTGTGAAGTCTTCTATTTGGGCAACCCAAATTTTGAGGCATTTTCTGATCTCAAGGTTCCACATTTGTCTGATTTTGCAGAGAATGAGAGCCACCTCGAGAGAGCAGACAAAGAAAAAGGCGTTGAAAAGGAAGAAACAGTGTCCTGGGTCTTTTCTACCTGCCCTCAGGTCCAGTAGTGGGATCACCAGTTCTCTTACAGACCATGGTAGAGAAGGCTCAGTTAGTCAAGGCCAGAGGCTTGGCCTCATACTGGACGTGAGGTCAGTCATCAGTGCTCTAATGACGGCATGTCCTACTCCTCCCCATAGATACCTGGGCAAAGAGGGCTGGGCACCAGCATCCTACTTGAAGAAGGCCAAAGACGACCTGCCGGCTCGGAAGAAGAACCTGGCAGGCCCAGTGGAGATCATCGGGAACATCATGGAGATCAGCAACCTGCTGAACAAGAAGGCATCTGGGGACAAGGACAATCCGCCTGCGGAAGGCGAGGGCTCTGAAGTACCCATTGCCAAGAAGGAGATCAGCCTGCCTATCCTTTGCAATGCTTCCAACGGCAGCGCCCTGGGCATCCCCGAGAGGACTGTCTCCAAGCTGGCCCAGGGTTCTCCAGCCGTGGCCAGGATTGCCCCTCAGAGGGCCCAGATCAGTAAGAACCTTGCTGACCTTTGGGTTCTCACTGCACAGCTCCCTGTAGAGTAGACGTGGGAAGTGCAGAACCCCTGTGCGTGCCATAGTGTCATATTTTTCCTGAGGTACAGACTGATCCCTGACCCCAGCCTCCTCCTAGCAGCTGACCTTCACTCTGTCAAATTACATAATGCTTAATCACAAGAGTGGATGAGGCAAGGGAGTGTGGATGACTCAGTTCCTTCCGACCCCTCCATGGAAGATGATGTGCGTGAATAGATGAGCTCACGTGCCCTTCTCTAGTGGAAAGCCACTTTGCAGGCAAATGTATTCCCAAAGCAAGAAGCAGTGCTATGGTTTTCTTTTCTCTATAGTGAAGGGTTTATAAATCAAGATAGATGATACACAGTTAATTTTGTGTTTAATTGCCTGGACTGTTTAATGTGAACCCTGTGTATGAGACTGCTTTGTGGAGTGATGGCCTATAGAAAATCATCTTCTGGGCTTTACCTGCTCCTTGCCTTCCACCTACCACCAGTTAATGGAAACCTGTAGGGCTTAGAAGCAGGACTTTGCTGCTCCCCACAAGCAAATTTTCCACGTGGCATTCTTAAACTCAGGGGGAAGCCCACTATCTGGTGCCCTCAAAATGCCCATCTCCATCCATCTTTGGCCCAACATGGCTTTGGTTGAAAGCTGAACTGTTCTGTATTATGGGGGCAGGGGAACCAGCTGCTTCTTGTACCTTCAGAACAACTTCAACCATTCTTACGATCTAGAGGAAAGCTATTTTTGTTTAGCTCTGGGCTCTTCGTGCCTGAAATCTTTTGATCAGTCACATGGCATCTGTTTTCAGGCACCTGCTCTGACCTGACATTGTGCTAACTTAGGAGGAGTTAGGAGTGAGCAAAAAAATAGCAACAGTCCCCACTCCTAACTTTGAAAATCTGATATAGCATACAGCTATAAGTAGTTTTCAGGGGGAACTACTTATATGTCCAGACATTTTAAAATGTGCATGTAATTTTAGAAGATTCATGGAGCCCAAAGGGAAGGTGGTGGAGCTCTGGTAGCATAGTACCTAAGGCACCTGAATGCTAACCAGAAGGCTGGCGGTTCAAACCCACCAGCCACTCCTCAGAAGGAAGGTTGGGCAATCTACTCCCGTAGTGATACTGCCTCAGAAACCCAAGGAGGGGTTGCTACGAGTCGGGTTCAACTCGAGGGCACATAACAACAACAACACGGGGTTCCTAGGCTAATCTTCACTGGGGCAGATCACCAGCTGTTTTCTCCCGTGCAGCCGCTGGTGGGTATGAAATGCCTACCTTACAGTTAGCAGAGATTACAGCCTAGAAAACCCCATGGGGCGGTTTCTACTTTGTCACACGGGGTTGCTATGATTGATCGACGGTACCTAAGGACAGTAACAACCACAGTCATCCTTTTACCTGTAGTCTCTTCCACTGTGACCCCTGCAGAGGGTGAGGCTCTCATCTCAGGATCCTGGGAGCTGAGAAGAGTGACTAGCATGTGGTAGGGAGGTGCTCGATTAATGGCTGTGGGCC